CTCTAGCCTAAATCGACTCATGAATTCAACTATTAAAATAATAATTAATCTGACCTTTCGTATTATCTGATTCGGATAAAACGGTGAGATTTAAAAGACACGCATGAAATGAATAAAAGAGTAATATTGTATTAAGATAAAATATTTGCGAATGATGTGATGAATAGACGTGATTAGCAGTAAACATTTCCAACTTAAATGTAGTAAATAACTTTTGATAAACTGATCAACCTTAGTCTCATTCGGTTTATAGCTCCATTAGTGTGGTTAGGAATTTCCAGTGTTTTGAATATTAGTATAACAGAAGATAAATGAAATCACGCTCATGTATTATACTGGAAATTTTGATTTTAACTCTGCCTTCCCCTTACACTGTTCCTTTTTACCTAATGTACACAACAATTTATGCTGCTTTTAAGCATCACTTCAGTGATTACATATCTTCAAATACATCATTCACCTTGAAAATTCTTACATGATAATGGAGAGATGAATGTAATTAGATAAGAAAGATTAGTTCAGCTTGGAGGTTTTTTTTCGCCGAGTTCATTATCAAAGCTGTACAATCGCAAATATATATACTTATTTTTCAGGATGGTAATAATTATAATATTACTGATAATAAACTTATGTTAGACATGGTGACAGTGAGGTAAAATAAACAAAGGTATTAACATTTTTTAAACAAGGAAAACTTAATAGTGGTGTTTGGAGGTAATTGATAAGAAACCATATTTGACTCACGTTTCATGCTATTTTGCACTAATCAGCGGGATTCAGTCATACATCACCCAGCTTTATAATCACAGACTTTACCACTGGGCTATTCGACCCGGGACATAGGTTTATGTTCATCAATCGACCACCTCCAACCACCGCATTACATCTTAACTTAGTTCACGCGCTGTTAAGTTACTTAAACTAGTGGCAACATCGCTATTAGGACAGTAGAATTCGATCAGAATCAAGAAGGATTAAACATGACATTTATCAGTACTCACTAATCAACCAATCGTAAAAGGATGATTAGAAGATAAAATACATACCATGAGTAATTGACAGCTGACTGTTAATCAAATCAGTGAATCTTTTTTTATCTGAGACGATTTTTGTATTAGGAATCCAACTATTTATACGCCAGTCTCAATGGATAAATGCATCTAACGTACTAAATCAGATATATAATTTATCCCATTTTCACAATGAATAATGACCAACTTTAAGATTTAATCAATGTATTGCCTACGTCATTGATTGTTTAAGCAGTATATTTATTGAAAAACAAAACAATTCTTCTCTAAATGTAGATCAAAATGCTCGCGCGCGAAACCAGTAGGTCCTGAGTTCGAATCCCGCAGAGGGCGTGGTCGTGGATGCGCACTACTGAGGAGTCCCACAATAGGACGGAATGGCCGTCCAGTGCTTCCAGGTTTTCCATGATGGTCTAGCTTCGACTGACTCATGAATTCAACTACTAAAACAGATCAATATCTCAATCAATATTGAGCTAATTGGATTCTAATTCATTCGGCTTCGGTTCTAAACTGACATTCGTACTTGTATCATAAAATATGTATAGTATGGAATTGTTGCTTTCTTAAACTGTCCCAATTTTTCAATATTCGATTTAGGACACCATCCACATACTGAGATATTTATGGTTGTCTATTGTTTCATAAGTGATTAAACGGATTGTTAAACATGTTTATGTCATAAAATTATTACAGCTTGAATTCAAAACTATATTTATACTTTAGAGTTCATTACAATACTGGATAACTACGATCCACAAGTTGATATGACTGAGATCGTCATAGAAGAAGATGAGGAGGAAGATGATTTTATCAATGAATTGCTAAAAACGAAAATCATGAAAATGACTTATGATTTCCTAGTTGAAAAACAAAAGATATCAGGAGGAATTGATGTTTTTGGAAAACTCTTGAAGGATTTGTGGTTCAAGCGATATAAACTTAGTCGGTAAGTTTAGAGTGATTCGAATACAATTGTTATATTGACTAATAGAATATTGAGAGATTGATGAAATGAAGTTGGATGATGACATGAACTGACAGCTTCTCGGAAAAGCGAGTCTAGCAAATTGTCTTACTACTTGGTGTTGCCTTATTTAGCTACAATAACAGGAATAGAAAAGTGTACCTTGTTTTAATCATTGTGTTCCATAAACTGGAATGAAACATTTAAATGTGACCTGAAGATCTATCTACCTAGTTGGTTTTCAAGTGACATCAGAAAATTTCTTAGCGCCATAGGATCGTGCAGGTTTACGAATTATCATATTAAGCTGAATTTCTATTCACATTCGCTCAAAAAAATACTATACTGGTAGATTGATCTAACAGTTACGACGTTTCTTGAGTTCATTCTACATATCAGTAGTTTTATCTTCTATAGATTATGTTAGAACCTCTAAATTGTATCTAAATTACTCTCCTGTAGTTTTTACACTGGACTGATTATTTTTAAAAATGATGAATTATTTCCATATAACATTTTTGAGTTAGTACCATTTAAAACGTGTACAGACCAAATCGCAACTCTACGGATCATTGTGGAACAATCAATTGAATGGAATTCATCACTCTACATCAACTTATTGACTACGAAAAGGCATTTGATGGCGTGGACAGAACAACACTATGGAAACTTCTTCGATACTACAGTGTGCCTCAAAAGATAGTCAATATCATACAGAATTCCTATGATGGATTAAACTGCAAAATCGTGTATGGAGGACAGTTGACAAAGTCGTTCGAAGAAAAGACCAGTGTCAGGCAAGGTTGCTTACTCCCACCCTTTCTCGTTCTTCTGGTGCTCGACTGGATCATGAAGACATCAAAATCTGAAGGGAAACACGTGATATAGTGGACATCTAGGATGCAGTTGGACGATCTAGTTTCGCAGATGATCTGGCCCTTCTATCCCAAACGCAACAACAAATGCAGGAGAAGACGACCAGTATAGCAGCAGCCTCAACAGCAGTAGGTTTCAATATACACAAAGGGAAAGCAAGATTCTTCGATACAACACAGAGTGCACCAATCCAGTCACAATTGCAAGATGTAAAAACCTTTGCATATATGGGCAGCATCATTGATGAACATGGTGGATCCGATGCAGATGTGAAGGCGCGGATCGGCAAAGCAAGAGCAGCATATCTACAACTGAGGAACATCTGGAACTCAAAGCAACTGTCAACCAACACCAAGATCAGGATTTTCAATACAAATGTCGAGACAGTTCTACTGCATGGAGTGGAAACCTGGAGAAATACGAAAGCCATCATCCAGAATATACAGGTGTTTATTAACAGTAGTCTACACAAAATACTTCGGATCCGTTGGCCAGACATTGTCAGCAACAACCTACTGTGGGAGAGAACAAACCAGATCCCAGTGTAGGAAGAAATCAGGAAGAAGCGCTGGAAGTGGATAGGTTACACATTGAGGAAGGCACCCAACTGCGTCACAAGACAGGCCCTCACATGTAATCCTGAAGGCCAAAGGAAAAGAGGAAGACCAAGAAAATGGAGACAGACATGAGAAAAATGAACAAGAATTGGATGGATCTAGAAAAGAAGGCCGAGGACAGAATGGGTTGGAGAATACTGGTCTGCGGCCTATGCTCCATTAGGAGTTACAGAAGTAAGTAAGTAAGTAAGTAACCATTTAAAGCACCATCAGAGAATACAAATTATAAAGAAAATGTCTAACTTTGATTCAAAACTCTGTATCAGTGTTGAGTCATTTCATGATCAAAAACAAATTTTTCTTGAACATACAAGGGATTCATAATTTAGGAGAGGAGTTTAAGCTTTTTGTAATGAAACAGATTATTTTAAATTTTATTCAACCATAGAAATTTTCATATATTCAATATGATGTAGTATGTGCGTTCAGAAAATATTCCACTGGAAAAATTTCTATCAAATAGTATCAGATAATTATCATATGAATACAGTGATCTTGAGTGCTGTTAGAGGTATGAGGGTGGTCATCACCTTCCGGTTTCCCACACCATGAAAAGGCTCTTCTAGAGGTACCTGAAAAGGAAATTGGATTAGAGGTGGTCTTATTGACCTGAGAGCGTGACCGCAGTGCCCAAAGGACAACTGTTTGAGGGAAGTCAGCACCGTTGTTATACTGGTTTTCTGAGGGAAACACCCTACTACGGTCACACTTCTGTACAGTCAGCAGTACGACTTCGCCATCGGACATTGAGTTTGCTGCTTTTAGTCTTGCTGCTCTTCAACCAACCTGTCTGGCATGGTAGGACCTTGTTGTTGATTAATTAATTGAAAGCACTGTTAGTTATAAAGATTTAAAAGTTTTCAAGAATTTCTCATCAGGTTCTACAATCATAAATCCAAATTAATAATCCATAAAATTGGCCAGATTTAAGGCAGAGTACATCATTTGGAATTTGTAATGTGTGAATTGAGAATTGTTGTCTGTTATATAAAATCAATTCAGTTCGTTAATGTTGGGGCTGTTTAATATAAGTGTTAACTTGAATCAGGTTATAAGCGAAATGAAATTGTGCGATAAATGATCAGAAGCCTCTTTGGGGCTACTATCAGTTCAAAACTCCGATAAAGGAGGAGGGTTGGGCATGGGGTTATCGATTCCATCTTGTAGAAAACGAACTCGCTAAAAAAACGCTAAGCAGGAAAAGAAATAACGCATTTACTAGCAGTATTTCACAATTGAATCGATCAAGTTAATACTATCAGATCAATTTGAGCAGATATTCATTTAAGTAGTCTCAACAAATTGTTTAAATCTGTATATTTCCAGTTTATTATAATAATTTCTTTCTTTTATATTTTACACATTATATGGATTCTGTGTGCCATGAATAATAATGAATGGTTGATAAAAAACACAATGATGAAAAAAATAATAATATAATGATCAATATAAAGTGGAGATTCATTCGCATTTGAGCATATATTTGTTGGTGAACATAAAGGATCCAAGATGCTTGGATTACATAATTGGATTCAATTTTATTTGAAAGAAAAGAAGAAGGAAATAAATTATTATGGATGGAAGAAGAGTGTAAGCATTTTGTACCTTTTGGTATTTATGTATATTTATCATATGATTTGTAGCTCAGGTAGATGATTTTGATGAAGTTTTGTTCTCTGAGCTGGATGGTTTGGTCGTGGAGTTTCTATCTGAAGTTTGTGCTGATGATGTCGTTCAGAAGAACGATGAAAGCTGCACAACCAAACCATCCAGCTCAGAGAACAAAACTCCAACAAAATATTTATCATAATAAGTGATAAATAGCGAGATTTTTCACTTTCACTGTTTAACAGATCAACTATTAAGATTGAACTAATTTCTGAAATTGGGTTCATGAGGATACCGATAGCATCATCTGTAATTGATGTATATTCAATATTAGAAGATGATAGAAGCAAAAAAGCATTAACTGAGACGCTTTCATTCAATGTGTTCTGAAAGGAACACAATGTTTCGATTGTAGAATAAATAGCTCCATGTATATTAATACCCCTATCCACAAACATATATTCGACAACACTAAAAGAAATTTAGTCAATTAATACAAAGGTTTTCACTGCTTTATAAGATATAGATAACTGTATCTTATAACTTCCAGTGAATGGTAAGAATAGCTAGAAAAGAAAACGCAACTAGAAGTTGATACTTGATATTATTACCCATAAATCTTACAACGAGTGATAAACTTCCTAAATAAATAAACTCTATTGTACATTTTAATCGAAAACAACTTCGCTTTTATAAGCAAAAATGGATAGCGGTTATCAGTGGAATCCAGGATGCGCGTTTCGTCCTATTTGAGACTCGTCAGCTGGATGTACCTGCATCTCAGAGTTGATGTTCACTCTGAGAGTCGAACCCAGTACTGTTCGTTTCAAACACCATTGTGTTATCCACTTAACTATGGACACATGATAGCCACTTGCTTGTGAAATGGGTTAAAGTTTAAATTCATTTGATGTTGTTTACTTGTATCTTCCCATTGTTATTTAAGACTGTAATTGATAAGTAGATAACACAATGGCGTTTGAAGAGAACGGTACTAGGTTTGACTCTCAGAGTGGACATCAACTGTGAGATGCAGGTGCATCCAGCTGATGAGTCTTAAATAGGATGAAACGCACATCTCAGTTTCCATCTTTACTTATAATGCATGTGAATTAAGGCAATATCGAGGTCATACATACAGTATACACATATGCCAATAAGTGAGTGATCAATTATAGTCCTAAACATCAATGGGAAGATACAAGTAAAACAAAAACCAAGTGAATTTAAACTTCACGTTTACTTTATAAATCATAAAAAGTTACAGAATTATTGTGTAGAGATTAAATTTTACTTGTATCAAATATCGGTCAATATTTAAAATATTCATGTAAACAAATTCTATGTTGAATACTTTCGTTATAATTTCGTCTTGATATTTATTGTTTGTTTATTCGTTTGATTATAGACTCTTCATGAACATTTAATCACGATAGAATATCTTGATGAAAATCAATATAGAAAACCAATGGGTTCAGTTTTTGTTGGATCATCACCAGAATTCGATATTGCTATTTATACAGTTACATTTTTATTAGGTGCTAGACATTACACTACAGTAAAAATTGATGGATGTGAAATAGTAATAGTTTGTGAAAAATTAACACCTACTGAAATGAGTACATGTTATATGAAATAACATAAACGAATGAAATTTATTACCAAAATATTAAAAGAACAATTAATTGTTTCATCATAATATTGATTAAATAAAATATTTTGGTGAAATCTCTATTCTATACTTTTATATTAGAGAAATATCATAGAAACTATTTAATAGAAGGTAGTAGTATCAAATGAAACATGATAAGAACGAAACGGCCGTCCAGTGCTTCCAAGTTTTCCATGGTAGTTTAGCTTCAATTGACTCATGATCTCAACTGTTGAAATTACTACAATCTTCATAAAACCCCTTCTGATACAAGATAAGTTGTATAGATTTTGTGTATTGACGATGATATTATTGATTGATTGGTAGATTGATTTCATAAATGTGATTATCTACTGGTTTCAAACTTTAAAATCGATAACTAGAAGGATTGTTTAACATAAAATATCTATTATTATGTTACTAGGTACATTTTGAGTCATAAATTTGAAGTGGATAAAATTAGGCTAAAGTTTATACTGTAGTTACTTAAGGTCATGTATCATATTGATCTTCACACTTTGAAGAAGAGAATATTTCAAAGTGATATTAGTTTTCAAAACTGATTAACATAGTGTAAGTAGCGATACACTGTAAATCATTGATATTAATCTGTGAAGGTGGAGTTGTAAGCAGTTAATTGATTTGGTTGAAACGACTTTATTGATGTAATAAATTATATGATATAGAAAGTCAGTTTTCATCAATGTTTCATATAATAGCTTTATTGTGTCTTCAGTAATACAATCTATGAAGATATTATTAACTCTATTAACTAGGCTATTTATCAAGCACCGTTTCTATTGAACTGGAAAATATGTGCATAAACTAAGATACTATAGTAGTGGACGAGAAAACAAGTGAGGACAACCGAATGGATTCGAACACAACATTGAATACTCAATTTGCAAAATGTCAATCAATTGTCTCAGACTTCACTGTTCCTTCATGTCCACAGCAATCATTCACTGTTCTCGTTCTCTTTTCTTCGATCTTCTTTACCTTCTCCCACCAGACATTTCACTTTTGAATGATGATACATACTACTTATGTCTGTCGACATCGGTAGCGCACACCACACTATCCTACCTATTTCAACCATTCCCAGTCGCTTACCATTTTGAGGCAGAGGAATCCTAGAGACTCTCAATCTGTATAAATTAGTTTTAAAAACTAAGAATAAGAAATTTCTCAAAATCAATGAGCTTGGAGCCTAATTAAAACCCCAAATGTATTAATAGCAGCTCGTGCACTACATCGAAATAAATCTTACAGTAATAATGGAAGATTTGATTTATTTGAATTTGAATTTAATCAGTTTCACTTTTTGAGGCATCATGTTCAGGAAGTGCAACAGTTTATCTGAGTTTCCACATCTCTTCAGTCAGAGTAAATTTGAGAGTCCATTCAAGGAATTCTAATACGTAAGGTTCAAATAATCTTACGTCTTTATTGGTCGATTATTTTGAAAGTTATGTTAGGTTTCACACGAGATGGAAGTAAATGTTTATGGCATTGAAATATATATTTGACCTGAATAGAAAATGACAAGGAATATGACTGACAAATAAATCATCAGAACTCTAAATTGCGAATGAAATTTTCAGTCGAGATCCCTTAACTGTGAATCGATGTTTCGTGTTGCCTTGGGATCAGATGTATGTGTCATAAAATCTTTCTGAATGATTCAGAATCATTCACATTCTTTGTCAAGAACGATTAGGGATACAGACACTTTGAAGGCTAAGTCCATCATAAGTAATCACATACTATTTTATTTCCTGATCGCTCCTACACGCTTGCAAGTTTTAAACATGTCAAAACAGAGTGGACTGCTGGTAATATAGTTTACTAAAAGGTGAGGATCTTACAGGTTTTTGTGACGACGGACTCGAGGAAGGTGTAAGAGGCTCATAAGGAGCCGAAGACGTTCCATCCAATCACCTTCCGGAAGAATGTTCTAGAATTCCAACGTGTAGCTTCCCCATTGGATAATGCTAATAACCCCCTGTACGCGGATTGGAAGACTGTAATGATGATTTCGTTCTCACTAAAAACTATAAATACCTGACAATTTTGTACTATGTTTGACACTGTTTGGAATAATATTCCTTTCATTAGTCTTCTGTCTTCTTACTGCGACTTGGAAGGGTTTTGGTGTTCTAGTGCTCAGTTATACGCGGTAGTATCAAGAAAAATCGATTTTTCAAGATATAACAGTTTTTCTATAGTGGGCAATTATTAAATTGAGCTATATCTAAAGCATACTGGCATAGTTGGTATAGAAAAAGATTACAACATCAAAAATAAGAAGTGAGGATGTGGCATGAAACATTTCACCGTGTAAGTGAGTATGATAACGTTTTAGTCAGTAATAGATAATAATTTTGGACTAGGACGTCCAGTTATGTTTACTTAAATGTGAGAAGAAGGGGCGAATCACGTAACATGGATAATTGAAATTGTTATCAAAATTACGGGCAAAACTTCTGTTACTCAGTCATTTGCAATTGATTAGATACAAGCTGAATTGGCGGCTCTCCAAACAACCCATAGACAGACCACTATAATACTTTGTGCTTCGTATCTTTACAGTTTTTTTGTAGACTGATAAATGAATACTAGGTTAAACGAGATTATTTTAAGACTCAGAACTATGTAGTTACAGCTTATCTATGTCGATTAGTATAAACTGGGAGCATTGGACAATATTTCTGACAACGCAGTTATTTCGTAAGCTTAATCAATAAACTGGCTGGAAATCGCGTAGGACAATATTTTATTAGACACTAAATTCCTCGAAAGAATATGTGATCCTCAGTGTCCATATTATTAACCGTTGGTAGTAATATGAATTTAGGTAATAATTCAGTTTGTTTCATCTCATGTAAATGTATAAATATTTAGTCATTGATTTACAGTTACATGAATACTCTATAAAGTCTTTCAAAATGATTCAAAGAGAAAGAGGTGTACATACATGTTCGGTAAATTATAAATAGGATGAACTTTCCACTTAACCATTTTTATACCCTTATTATTTTGGAGCAAAATTTAAATATAATGACTACGAATCTACTAATAGTAAGGCTATATCTAGGTAAGAATTCAGTTTCCCTAATGTATGGGGTGGTGTAGTCTAAGAGAGATTCAACTAAATGTGAGAATTGTTTCGTAACTGCGTGTTTAATCGAGTAGTTTTCTTTATTGTGTGCAAGTCTTACGAACTTACTTTTTTTGAAATGTAATTTCCTTCTCTTATTTATTTATTTATTAGCAATGTTATTTCTCTAGTTATATGAAGCATAGTACCTTTGTGCTCATATATACCAGAATTTGTGTTCATTAAATAAACGTACATTTGTAGAAGTGCTTCAAAAATAGATCTTTCTTACTGATTATTATTTTCCCATTCTTCTCTATAAGATTTTATTATTATGTTGTATCATATATGAATAACATTTCTGAAAATATGGTCGAACTTGGTAAATGTCAAAACAGCCGCAACCAATGTGTTATTATTATTAAATTTCTGGCTACTGATACATGAATTTATTGATCTAATATTGAGATTCAGGCTTGTAAAGGGAAATCTCATTCAGACAGAATTTAGCTGGATATCTCATAATCATAACATCTGACCAATCCCCAGCAAGTCGGAATCTTGATGGTTGGTAAGGTAATATGCTCCATGAAACATTCAGGACATCAATGAGATATCAAAATCCATTTCACACCAATTCTATTATATTGTGGGAAACACTTCTGCCACTATGTGACATTTTGGTGTTGAACATGATCTAAGTGTCTTGAATGTTTTCTGAAAAATGGAAATAATCGCCTAACGAAAGCTAATTTGGAAATCGGCATGTGTTCCGATTGTCAAATTCTCAAAATCTGTTTGTTTTTCAAATGAATGAATGTTCAAGACGCAAAAATGGTATTAATCTCTGTACAAGGAAGTGACTATGACTTTTTTCTATTGGAAGGTGAAACACTATGACTGCTACGAAACCTATCTTTGTGTTCAAGTTATTGATGGTTGTTTTGAATGGGTATGTTTTAACTACCACAAAACTAACCAGCTAATTTTGTCTTTGTAATTGATCGGCTATACAGTGAAACTTCTATTATCGCGTCGATTTCAGAGTGAAGGAATGTATTACATTTATTTCTCTTCTAATTTAATTTGGTCCCATGTCGTGTTTTACATTTACAATGAATCGGTAATAAAATTAGTATGATCTTAGAAGTTTCTAACAAAATAAAATTTGTATACTTAATTTATTTGTTTGTTTATTACTTCCTATGAAAGGAACACAATCTTGCATCACCATTTAGTTAAACCAATTCACTGTGCACAAATCTTTATATTTTCTACAACAAGATTTATACTTTATCCCTGTTTTAGGATTGAAAATAAAATCAGTCACTGGTCTCAGTTATATATTAGCATTACATGATTTCTGTTTACCAAAGGAATTTTATAGTTTTCATTTTCATATGATTGTTTTGGGTAGTTAAATTGATAGAGTTCACCGCTGAACACTTCAACTATTATATAGGTCAAAAGTCAACCTCAACATTGGCCAAAATTAATAATTATCATGAGTTTAATATTCATGATTAGTAATTTTTAAGAACGGTATTTTACGGGGTAGGATTGCTAACCTAATGCCCAACCCTATTTCTCTATTTGGACTTAAGAGTGTCAGTAATCGCAGTAGGTCTCTAGGTGAAGTTTAAGTGGCTTAAACGCTATTTTAGGTGGTTTCCTCACATTACTTTCTAATCTTATTGTGAAATTTTAGACAGACACATTTTAATGGTGGAAGACAACAATAGGACACTAAGAATCTAAAAGGATATAATGTTCAGTGGAAAGGTATTTTGCTACTTATGTATAGAGAGACCAATTTCAGATTCTATTATTATATTTGCTGGAGAGTTGCACGGCACCTTATTTGTGACTAATTACTGGTCAGAGTTGT